CAAGACGCTGAATCGGTCGGTTGTTTCTCTCTTGAGAGCGATTACTTGAATATTGACTTGATTTGTGGTGCTTGTTTTGAGTTATATAGGAAGCCAAGGCGTTTATGGCTGGACTCAGTCGCTTTCTCAGCGTTTGCGGTCTCGTGTGGCTGAGTTCCTCCACGGAAAATACCCGATCGACCATGGTACACTGGAGCATGGCATGGCGTCATGTCATTCAGTGCCCTGCCGTAGTTATATCACTGTGAATAAAAATACACGTCTGATCCTGATATTTATTATATGCAATACATATATTAATAATATGCCATATAAAAAAATACAAATATAACGCTATAATGGAAAACTTCAAGTAACTTACCATCGTGTACTTCCGGAACGGAGAAATGTCGCATGAGTACTTGACACATGCGAAACCCCAAAACCCAACGGATCTTTGCACAATACTACGTAGTACTTCGTACTTCGTAATACAGTACTGTACATTTCTTTTGCGTTGACTAATCACAGATTTTGTGCTGATTTATCTGAGATCCACAAATTCGACGTACCGTAACTTTTAAAATAAGCTGCCGTATCGTTATTACTAGTCCACGTTGTGTTATACTAGTAATATTCACGACTAAAACTAACGCAATCGCCGATTTTATGTCTGTATGAACTATTGCTAATATGGTGCTAAAGCCCGGAAGTGGGACAGAAGTAAGGAACGCCATTTGTAGTAATGATAGCTTGATTAGTCCACATTTCATAACAGGGTTAGTTAAACAAATACTGTACTTCCTCCGTATGACAAAACAAGTGTTTTAAAATTATATGAAATAAAGTATGCATGGTTATATATAATATACGTCAAGATCGTATTTTTATTCAGAAAACTGCATGCACGACGAAGCATCATACCATCTACTGTAGACCTGTGGTGATGTGATGTCGTACCGGTAGTATTGATCGCCACTGTGGCTTGGAAATACGAACACGACATTGTCCCGGTTACATTTATAATCTGTTGTGCTCGGGGCTGAGCCACCGACACTACTTCCTTCTAAACTTGCGCATTCTGTGTGGCTTCAAATTTTGAACGTTGGTTCATCGTCTCAAGTGCGCTCTCCAGCACATTTGAGCCACAGTGAGCGCAATTGCAGGAGATTCTGAGAGCCTTACATCACCTGCATCTTAGCACGTTCATATACTAGTATGCTGTGTCTTCTACTTCCCTTTGCTGTGTCCTTCTAAGCTTACTAGAAATTCCGCCAGTGTACACTGTATGCTGTACAGTTCTAATGACTGATTATTCGATGTCAAAGGCTCACCAGCTGGTACGTTGACTAATCACACCAAGGCCTTACTTCGAAGTATTTGTCAAGGGAATATAGACAGTATACAAACGCCAAGGTTAACGTGAGAATGTAAGTTCCAGTTCCTCTCCAGAACAATAGCATTTTGTACTGTATGTACAGCCTTGTTTCCTGACATATCAGGCGTTATTTACAAATCTGTATCACTTTCTGGCGTTCTCATACTCTTCCCCAAGTAAGTGTGGGCCATTTGCGCATTTGCACAGTGCCCCTCATATCACAGACAGCCATGATGCCGTCAACTACTTCATACCCCACGCAGTTCACCAACAACCAGTGCCTCTATCGCAACAAAGTGTGCTTGAACGTCCGCGCAGTCAAGAACAACGGCCTGCTGCACAGTTTCTGCGAGTACCATCGGATCAGAGCCAACTCGAACCAGCGCAAACTCGAGAAGAAGAAACGAGAGTGTCCGATCACTCCTCCTGCGGCCACAGCCGAACAAAGTAACAAGCCAACGCGTACCTTTGGCGTCAAGGAGCTGTGGATGAATCCGTACGACGTAGATGACATCGACACGTGCGACGCCGACGTTGTGATTTGGGTGCAGCCCATCCGCCTCGAACTCCCGCAGACATTCGACCACATCATTCATGAACAAGTTTAACCAACATCATAGTAACTATTTACGAACCGAACCCCTGTACTTGTTTCTGTGGTCATGCCGAAAAGTCCACCGCTGGTGACCCCAACGAAGCTACAGTATTGTTTGAACAGGATGCATTCGATGTGGCACTACACTGTAGTAATGGACAAGCACACAAGGCGGCCCCTTCCATCTGCCGACACCCATCAGCCCTTCCCGTTCGTTGGGTACCTGGAAGGTTCAGATTTGTACAACTGTAAAACAGTTCCACTGTTGCTTTTCTCAGAACTGCAACATGAGTGTTTATATGGAATTTTGTAAGCTCGGATCTAACTAGGGGTTAAGAGCATCTCAGTGGTTAGTGATAGCTAACCCAGTGGTACTCAAACATATTTTGAGAATAAAAATATTATGTAACTATACCACTCTGGTCCGTAATGATTGTCATATTGTTTTTGGAGTGGTGCCATTCATCTAAATTTACGACTTGAATTAAACTGATTGGTGCATTAGAAAGGTAATGATCTCCTCTTTGATTGGCTATTTCGAGCTCCTCCGAAAGCACTTTTTTGCAAGGGATACACGACGTTTTAAAGAGAAAATCATCCGGTCAGCGTTCAATACCATTGCTATTTCGTGCACTCGATGCCCAATAGACGTGCTAACCCTACGCGAAGCAACTACACATACTAGCGAGATCCAAAGACTTCTGCTCGCTAGTTGCGCCATGCAGCGTCGACTCACAGTAGGTAACCACACCATCCTGATACATATAGCCATGACGACCCTATGAAAACATATGCTCTCGGTTATAGCACCTGACAGTATAGATCTATTGTTGGTTCATTAGACAGATTTCGGAAGCACTGCCGTAGACTTCCCACGCACGGAAATTTTAATGCACGGGAAATATATGGCAGACCCAACTCATGATTTCGTCAAAACTTATTTGCATTTACCACATCCGCATGAGGAACGATATCCGTATGCTTGCATGTGTGGTGGCGAATCCACACCGCACATAGTTCCCTGTTGTTGCATTGCATAAGCTTACTCATGTGGACCCATTACCACAACTGGCATCACGAAGGGGTCTTGGCACACACCTCATGGGTCCACAACTTTACTATCACTATGATCCCAGTTTTTGCGTGCCACGTTGAGCAAGGGAGTGGCTTTACGACACCTAACGAAA